TGCTGGTGGCAAGTACAAACCCTGGTGAAACAAACTTTATCTATAGAATAATAATAAATATGTACAAATTATAGGATGTGATGTTTGTTTTCAGTAGTAATAGCCCAAGAACATTGATAATTATCCGAAAAAAGTCTGTTTTCTATAGGCAACAAGCTTGAGAAAGTTGTTCTAAAGTTTTTGAGTAATTATCAATGTTCGAGGGTTATTCGGATAGAAATTTTTTGACAGCAATGTCCAAGGCAATGTCATAGAGTGAAAACAACCCTAGGGCTGTTTTCAGTATAATAAAATTAAAAAAAATTAAATAATCTTTATTGCATGTAAAAATTACCATACAAAGGTGGAAAGTACCGCCAGGCGTATTTTAATAACCACCCTTTGCTATAATAATAAAATCTTAAACACTTAAAATTAGAAGTTAAAATTAACAACAGAGATAAACATTAGTTACAATAAATAAAAATAATAATAAAAACAATATCACAAAAAAAAAAAAAATAATGTTGACATGATTGGGTGATTTGTGTCACATGACAATAAATAACAAAATTGAACTGGCTGTTAGAACTGTCAAAAAATATTCAACAATGTTTAAGGGTTTGTTTTTCTGGTCGGTTTATGTAAAACTGTGAAATTATTTCATATAGCCTAGGTATACAAAGTATACATAATTATAATGGCATTACATAAAATTACATGGCATTATGATGTAATTACTGGCATTACATTGGAATTACCGGAATTACTCATGTAATGCGCAATACATGTACAAATTTTGGTCCAGTTGTTACCCCCTCGTGCTAGGTTTATAGACCTGACTGGAGTAGTAGTTTTCTGTTTGGTAGTCAAATACTCACCACAATGTATGTCTTCTTGTGAAATAATGCAATCAGCTGCTGAAACTAGGGACACATGAGAACCTGGAATTGATTGCATGACTATCAATATCATGCCTATGTTAAACTAGGTGTAGACATACAATGCAAATTTCAGGCCTTGGAATCCATAAATTGTATTAGCCAGAAATTATCATTGCAAGGATTTACAACATCAGGTGTCAAGACCAATTAATTGACTCTTTTTTTTACTTAGAAAGTATCTATAGGTAGATTTGATTAAAATCATAATCTCTATTTACGCATGTAGCATTTACAGATTACAAAATATAACATGAACAACAGTCAACAGAAGCAAGATGGCAAACTGACCATTCTTTAAGAATTAAAATTAAAAAATTTTAAAGTGAAACAAACAAAAAACATTTAATACTTAAATGAAATCTTAGACTGCCTACAGAAAGTCCTGAAATCACAGTTAAAAATATCAATGTAATTTTTTTGTAACACTAAGTTGGCAATCTTACACATCCTATTTATGGGCATAGTAATTCCATAATAATTGGTCCTATGAAAAGAATGGCTAAGCAACTCTTTCTGACGTGAGGTCCTAGAGGTAATATGAAAGCCAATCTCTTCAAGAAGATCTAGGGTGTCATTATGCAATGCAAAATCTTAAAAAGGGTAGAGACATCAAGAAATTTTCATTTGTTCTGAAGACTAAAATTTAAAACTCAAAAGCTTCATTAACTCTTAGCTTTTATCTTCATGAGGAATACCCATTTTAAGCTCAACCCTCTTCAGAAATTTTCTCTGTACCCATTCGAAACTCTACTTGTGTACACTATAATAATAGGCTCAGACAAAGCTAGCATACTCTAGCAGTGAACATACTAAAGACAAAAGATTTCCTTTAAAGTTAAAATATTGATAATTTCGCTCAGAGTTCAAAAGGCAAACCTGAGGGCAAACCCAAGCATCCTCATTGCTTTGTTTTTGGTTGTTTCAATATGAGTATTAAAATCTAAGGTATTAAATGATAGATCACTCTATCCAAATGCCAAGGTCTTTTACTAAGGTTTCTCTATGTTATTAATTGAGTAATTTAAAATGATTGGGTTTTTGTTCTGCTGAATGTGATAAAGCTTTATTTTTTGACATTAAGCTGAAGATTATTTACTGAACACCATGTGGGAAACAAGTTGCAAAGATTAACAGTCTAGCACATTGATTAGTGATTGCAATCCTGAAGCCATTAGCAAGCATTTTAAAATCACAGTCCTTAAAAATCAATTTAATATCATTGACAAACAATAAAAAGTATGATTAGCAGATTCCCCCCTTGTGGTACCCCTGATGTCGCTACAATTTCAGATGATATAAAAAAAATTATTTCTTTCACGTTACTTTCAAACCACTTAAAAAAAGAGCCAGAAAGTCCCACAGCATTCAGCTTGGATAGAAAAATTCTGTGATCTACTCTGTCGAATGCCTTTGAAAGTCAGTATAGCATTTACCTGATACTTATTCTCAAAAGCACCCAACAGAGATTTCTCTTCATAAAACCGAGCTGTTAATTCATTATGATCCTTATAAAGTGAGGAGACAAGCTCTGTAGTTTCTGACATCAGCTCTGTCCCCTGTCACCACTCTTAAAAATGATTTTTTCCAAAAGTCTGTAGAAACTCCTGTACTTAGAGATAAATTGAAAAATTCATATAAAATGACATGTAAAACCTCGGATAAAACATATTTACAATTTTGTATCACTGACGTGGGAATCCCATCAGGACCCATTCCCAATTTTTTCTTCATTTTGTCATGATGTGATTTCCTTGGCATAGTCAGAGTCAGATTAATATCCATCAAAAGTCATGCATTTTGGATATTCTGTGTTCCTTTTTATTGACTTCACAAAGTTCCAATAGGATTGCTTATCATGCATTTAATTTCCTAATTTTTTTACATATTACATATTATATGAGGTTTGAGAAATATTAGAACATTCAGATCTTAAAGTAGCAAAGTGATTAAGTGCTTTTGTAATTGTTGCTTTAAAATTTTTATGAGAACATGTCCAAAATTCAGTGTCGGACTGGCCCACCGGGCAACCGGGCAAAATCCCGGTGGGCCATGTGACATCTTCAACAGGTGGACCATTCATGAAAAATCAACTATCGTATCAATATCAACGCCCTTCTGCTCTGAAAAAGTTCAAGCCGAAGTTGCGTAGAAATCGCCCGCTGCATATCAGTAAATTTGAATTCAACTGACGAACCTACCCGGTGTTGTTTTTTAGGAATACAGGGACAGGGTAGTGAATTTGTAACAAAAGCCACATCCTAACATTGGTTTTGGATTTGATTTGTTTTTTTATTATATGTAGAAATAGATATGGAAAGAAAAATATTGACTCGCAAAAATGCTTTAATAAGTCTTCGTTTTTCGCAAGTTAATCCACTGTTAAAAGCAGCATCAAGCAGTAGCCCAGCAATTTGCCATGCCTGCAATACCAGAAAATCAAAAATGGGTTCAGGAAAACTCAATGCCTGGACCATCTTCGTTTCCAAATGGAACAGGGGGTCGAGTGTTACCTGTTTTAAAAGAGCGGTCAATTTTCTTGCTCCAAATGACATCATATGAAAGATAATTGAACGCTTTTTTTAGAAAGGTGTCACTCAACCCCTTGTTCCATTTGAAATAGTAAGGGTTGGTCTCACACCGCCTAGAGAGTTAAAGTTGAAATGCTAAAAATGGTTGCAAATAACTTTCCCCTTTAAAAATCAAATTATGTGTATTATTCATTCACAATCCGATGTCCACAGGTACAGGTAAAATTTATCACCTTTCAATGATTTTTGATAGGGAAAGGTGATAAATTTACCTGTACCTTTGGACTACAGATTATGAATAGGATATATGAGCGATTTTTTAAAAAATAAACGTAGCATCAGATATCTTGCCTGTTTTGTTTTTACTGGTACACCCTGTATATCCTGTTCTTTTTTGTAAGTTACCTACTCTTAATTATTATGGTAATTTACTCAGTAATTTTTATACAACTTCAAACTACATATTATTACATCGGTAAATAACAACAAAATATAAGCAAGTAGGTGGAGTAAACCTTAAGTAGGTACCTATTTTTTTGACTATAAATAAAATTAGGTACCAGATTCAACCGATGATTATCAAAATTGTTTTTATTGAATGAGGTTTGGGTTGGGTGGGCCACTTCACTATTTGCCCGGTGGGCCAAATGACCCCCAGTCCGACACTGCCAAAATTGCTTTAACAACCACAAAATGGACTTAATTTTTCCCTTTATTTTTCCTGAAAGTACTTCCATTTAGCATTTCTCTTATTGCATTTTAACATCTGGGTTTTTTCACTTGTTCCCAATAAAAATTCATCCAGAATGGACCTAATATATGAAAACAACAATCTAAATTGGAGCTAATAGTCATAGAAATTCTTTCATAACAGTATTTTTGTTCCAAAATTGCATTGCACTCTAAAAGAATGCTGAAACCCTGGCAGATTACTTATTGGAAACAACTAAATTGTCACTGCTCAAGTGCTTCTTTCTGGCTTTTTCTCTTAAAACATCAATAAAGAAGGTTCAAAATCGCCTTAAATTCACAAAATGGTCTAAAGCTGTGCTAAAAGTACTTTTTTCTGCATTTTTCTGCAATCTTTGGAAATCCTCCACAATCCGTAAATTCTGCAATCTTGTCACATTTTTCTGCGATTACTATTATGGTAAAATTTGTTTTGTTTGATTTGAAGAAAATATAAATAAAAGGACAGATGCTTAGGTCAATCCTCCTACTCCAAATACTTACTTTTATCACTGTATAGATAGATACATTTGAGGATTCTGCCTGAAGAAGGCATCCTGCGCTCTAAAACATCTCTTTTCATTAGAAACAGATATTATAGGAGCTCAGAAATCAAGAAGGAAAATGCTATTGAACAAACCTTGAACTTGCAATGCCACTGAAACTTGTGGTGTACAGATAAACATAACAGTTTAGATTACTTATTGATAATATTTAAAATGAATTTCCCAAAATTAGTGTTATTCATGATGAGACATTTTATTGATTTGCTTTATATTTTTCGCCCCAATTTACCTAATATGTATATATTTTTTTTTAGGTATTGGAGCAAGTTCATCCCTCACTGGGTGCCCGAGAAGAGGCACTGGATTATGTGGAGAGTTTGTGTCTCCGACTATTAGGCATGCTCTGTGCCAAACCAAGTCCACACACTGTACAGGTACTTAATTATTTCATTCTTCATAATTCATAAAATTGAATATAAACAATATTTCAGGATGTCGAATCTAGAGTCCAAAACACATTTCCCACCCCCATAGACAAATGGGCTCTTAAAGAGGCTCAGGAAGCCTTAGAAAGAGGAAAGAAAAAGTCAGTTTTATTACTACCAGTTGATAGGATTCATAATCTTATGCAGAAGGTAGGATTTGTTGTAATAAGTTTATATAAATCCAATCAAATATTTATTTTTATTTTATTGAAGGAATTGCTGTTGTACAAAGTTGATTCGACAGTATCATTGTTTCTAGTCGCCGTTTTGGAATATATCTCAGCTGATATTTTGAAACTAGTAGGAAATTACGCCAAAAACATCAAACACGTCGAGATCACTTATCAAGATGTGCAGATTTCTATGAAAGTCGATAAGGTATTAAATATGAATCATTAAGTAGATGTTAAATAATAAATAATATCGTATCAAAAAAATTATTTGTGCCAATAAAAGAAAGAATCTCAATCAATCGTCAAAATGTTTAGGGCTAGATTAATCTAGTTGCTATAAAAACTGCTTTTTGCTTTTCACGCTGCGCCAAAAGCCCACATTCATGGTACGTAGCGGTTATTATTTTATTTTATATATTAATGTTTTTTAATTCTGCATGGTTTCTACATTTTGTACGGACACTCATTCAATAGAAAGGCCTCCCACCCCACAGCAAGAGTTGTCAGGAAAGGATCAAGTTCTCTTTTAGGTTTTTTTTTTTGCTTCTGCTAACTGTGAGGCTAAAATTATTTCAGATAGAGAATCCAACATTATAGTAACCAAAAATAATTCACTAGGAAAGTCTACCCTTAAAAGCTGGAGAGGGTAAAAGCTCAATTATAGCAACCAGCAGAGGCAGGAATAAACTGTTAATACACTTAATTGTGTTTTTCAGAAAATATGAAGGCTAGAATTTAATGTGTAAGACTCCTGAGGGTTGTTTTGGGTAATTTTGAGCTATTCTGATCCTTACAGTTGCAAACCTAAAAGAGGATTTCCGTCTGGAATTCTGATCCACTTCAACTCATTAAATGACTATACATACATAAACATTTCTAGTTGTTTTTTATTTTTTTTATTTATAAATCGTCCATGCTTTTTTTATATCATTCTTTGTAAATTTATTAAGATATGGGCTGATTTTTTTAAATGCATTTTTATCATCCAGGAAAGGCTTTCTTTAAGTTGCTTGGCTAATGCACTTCAGTTTCCCTTTTTCAAATTTTTTTGTTGCTCTATAACTGTCGCCTTTTTGTATGTTTCTTTTAGTATATTTGCGAGATTTGCACATAGAATCTCTTACAACTTTTGTGGAGTTTTGTGCACAATGGAAAATGTTTTTGATCACTTTTGCACCAAAAATGCATGTAAACATACCAAAATTGGAAAAAATTTTGGCATCTTTTGTATATAAGTTAATTGAGGAACTTTCAATGGTATTTTCTTCATATAAATGCCTGGGAGATTATTAGAATTTTTATATAAATAAGTATTTTCAATTTTCACACAAAATTCAGAAACAAAATTTTATCTTGAGAATTCTTAGCAAAATAAAAATCAAAGTTTTTCTGGATTTGAATTTAATTATATTTTGTTTATGCTTGAAAAAATTAAATAATTGAAATACTGTTTAAGGCACTACATGATACTTGGCAAGTAACTTGACTAGTTTGCCAAGTACTTGTACAAGTGAAAGTAAAGCATAGTTTACACAAGCAACTTAAAACTATCGCAAGTTTATGTCTGAGAGTACTTCCAAAGAATTTGCTGAATGTAAACAGTGTCCGACGGTCCTCTCCCAGCAAGTCGCAAAATTGACGGGAAGTGGTTGGGGCAAAAATCGCTTGCACGTCTAAACAAGTTGGGAGAATGCTCTAGCAAGTCATAATTTATTTTCGGTTTTGTTGAAAGTTGTGTGCAAGTAAAATAGGCAAATTGGAACATGGAGGAAAAAGGCTTGCTCAAGTTGGCCCCCTACATTCGGTATTTTGTATTGTTACTCAGTTGTAGTCAACAAGCTCAAAATTCAAGAGTCTGTAATAGACAAAAATTGAGATAAAATAAGCCGGAAAATTCTAAATTTCCAATTTTAAAGTTTGGGATCTTGTGTACAAGGCCCTTTTTGCCCTTAAACTACTCAAAAATACAACTTCCACAACCAAAATGGAACAATATTATATTAAAAACAATTTTCCCCAACTTCAATTTTGAATCTGGAGGTTGTTCTTGGAAGCTCAAAATCAATCTGCAAGTCTTAGATATTCTAGAGGCAAAATTAAGCATCTTTTCCTCTGGAAGAACTAACCCAAACTAAAAACATTGGAAAGCAATTTTTTCCCAATTTTTTCCAGTAAAAAATAATAAAATGGAAAAAAATGGATATGTAATTAAGTACCTGTCAAAAATCTGTAGAAGAAGGTTCTTATTATAGGCTCTTCAAGACTTTTAAGACTCATTTTATCCATCAAATTTATTGGAATATTACATGATTAGGCTCAGACTACTTCTGGACTTTGTTCGCCTACAGGGGGGCTCACCTAAAAAAAAAACACAGCGGCAGGAAAATTGTTTATGTACCATTATGTTTGAGTATACTCAAACAAAATTACGAATCAAAGTTGATAAGTAACATGGAAAGCGCATTATAAATCATCAAATTCTTCAACACCTAACTTCAATTAATAAAAACCAATACGTTTATTTTATGGATGACCCACCCTGTATCTAATTACAAACCAAATGACAGGTAAATTTAGTGCATATTTTTAATTTGTTTTTACTAATACATAATCCCCCATTTGAAAGTCAGCTCTAATTACAAATGAACATATTGTTCGTCGATTTTTATCTGACACTTTCCGTATGAGGAGCGAGGGGGTGAAGCATAGGGGTGAAGTATATGACAAAAACAGGTGACCATTGGCGTTCTAATGTAGGGTGCCACCAGCTCACATTCATTTCGAGTATCAGATTAAATCGACGGACTTCAAAGTTTCAGCTTTTACAAACAAATCTTGAGAAAAAGTGTCCAAATTTTTCCAGATAATTACTTTGGCTCCTGGACTATTAGGCCTACTAATTACCTATTGTCCGGATTCTCATAAATCGTTCGATCTGGCTTTCCAAGAGTGCCTACTCAACACCTCCATGAGTGTCTCAAAAAAATTGAAAACTTTCAAATTGCCTTTTTGAAAAATAGCCACAATACTGGATAGCTATACTATATCTCTATAGCAATCAGCTAAAGAGTATTTTTGTGTAATGCACATGTTGATGTTTTTATCATTTTGAAAATAGCTGAAAATGTTTAGTGGACTAGGTACCATTAGCAATTACCCAAAGTGTTAATTGTGTTAGGTTAGTTGGGTTGTTGCTAGTTTCAATAATTTTCAATAATTAAGACTTATTTTGAGCCACTTTTAAGACATCTGAGCATTATACAAAAACATCTTTGGATGATTTCCAGTGAAAGTGGGTAGCATTTGTAGCTATGAATTTAAAGTGGCTTAAACAGCCATTCAATTGAAAACTGTGCAAAAATCAATTTTTTGGGACACTCCAGCATTCTATTTACAGCAATACCTACATCCAGCATACAGTATTCTATTCCGACAGTACCTACATATCCAGAACCCAGCATTCTATCTCACAACAGTCTACATCCAGAATTTTCCTGGATCATTCATGCCTCGCACAACTCATCTATACTTTCTCCATTAACGCACTTTTGGAAAGCCAAGACAAAAAAAAATTATTGATGACAATAGGAGCGAAAGATTTTATGGAAAATTCAATAGTTCTAATTTTTAGACACTCTGTAAAATGTACTTATTGCCCATAGTAAATCACTATTTAAATTCGAAAAAAAAAAACAAAAATAAGAAAGTTCTGGATTGTTCCAGACTCAAACCTTGGAAAAATCAAAGGTTCATCCAAACTCAATAAATCTCAGTTACCAAAAAATAATTGTTGGTACTACTTACGGAAATCCAGACGTCAATTGGTACACTATGGACACTCGACGCGGTAATCGGAAAATGGCGGTCGAAAAATCTTAACTTGTGAGAAAAATCGATAATTCCTGGACGCGACTGGCGGTACTTCATCTATCGGCGATTCGTACTCGACTTAAATCTAAATTCCTTTGTCTGTCCGACAAAGAAATCCTAATTTCAAACCCAAAATAAAAAAAGGTAAACAGATAAGGTACTAAATATGAGTAAGTGTGATAGGGAAAAAACTAACTGCGTAGTAGAGTAGCACCCCGACGACAAGTGTAAATCCCCTGTTTCTAGCTATACAGGGCCGAATTGGGGTTAATTTTTTTCTTTGAGACGGTTTTGGAACAGAATTTGATAATAACTTTCAATTTTTGTCTATTCCAGGCGCTAGGATTTCTGAAATAATTCCGAGGTTTGCAAATTGTTCAAAATGTCGCTGGAAAGTGTTCTAAATGGCTTATTGAAGTTCTAAAGTGTTCTAACTTGGCTTGAAGACTTCTGACGCATTTTAGAAGTTTTTCGGTAACTTCTTAATTATTTTGAGAGATTTTCAAGTATTTTAGAGCCCCATTGAAGCTTCAAAATGTTCTAAATTGGTTCAAAAGGTTTCCAGTTCTAAATTGATTCCTGTTTGTTCTAAAATAACTCTGAGGTTTCTCAAATATTGTTTTTCGATTATTTTTGAGCAAATTATCAATAACTATACATCATTGAAAAGTGCAATAAATTCTCTATAATAGGTACCTGTGCAAAATTGGGTTTTGTAGCTCATAGAGTTTAAGAGATATTGACTCCAAACTCGATTTTCTCAAAAACCGTAAATGCTAGCGATTTCAACTAAATACCATGTTGGAGCCCTTATCAAGAGCTACAATTTTTTTTCCAGGTCCGCTTTTGGTTACCGAAGATTCAAGATTTCCAAATGAAAATCCAAAGGGGGTAGGTTCCCTTAGAAAAAAGTGCAAAAAAATTGAAAATTTCTATTTTTGGAGTTTTCTTAATTTTCACTTTAGAAAATCGATAGAGCTGGTCCAAATTACTCAGAAACAATTCTAACATCAATAACATTTGGAAATTTCAATAAGAGAAAAAATTCAATAGGAAATCTCATTTTTTGGCTCTGGACATTTTTTGAAATCTTGACATGCTCATGAATAATTGCTTATATCTTCCATAATTTTCCAGCAAATTAATAATTACCATATAAATTATCAATTTTTTATCTGTATTTCCTGGAGGTTGGACTAGTTTCTTTCTTAAATTGATTTTCAACCTCCTTTTTGTCAGCATCACATAAACTATGTAAATTGTTATTAATTTTTATTATTTATGTAACAAAATTTGTAATATGTATGATGACAAATGAAGCCTTTATTATTATTATTATTATTTTATATATCATTGGAAAAAGCATTAAACTCTCTATGAGGCTGTGTAAAATTGATTTTCGGAACTTTCGGGGTTTCGAAAATCTTGAGCTTGAAAGTTGAAATTTAGTCGACATTTTGTCTAAAACTTCAAACCCGATTTTGTCAAAAACTGTGAACTCTAGCGATTCCAGCTAAATACCATTTTGAAGCCCTAGAGAAGACTCCAAAGCCTGTAATAAAAAAAACAATGATTTTTCTATCGAACATTGACATTATAAATTACTTATAAATTTAAAAAATTTAATTTAGAAAACCCATTAATTGTGTGAATTCTCCTGCTTAAAACATATAAAACAGAACCTAAAATTATAAAAAAAATTTGATTAGAAAATCAATTAAGTACCTACATATTTGAATTTTGTGCAAGTAAAAACATTTTAATAAAATCATAGTACTGCTTAGTACGGCCCTAACCACCCAGACTTCTTGGCTTGGGGAATATTGGAATATTGAAAACACACTAATATATCTTTCAAGATTTTCTTGGTCCCAACTTGCAAATTCGAGTTGTTTACTTCAACTTAACTCTTGGGGAAGGGATGGCCGCCATTCCTTTCTTCATTATCCACCCTTCAAGTTTATGATTTATGGCCTGGGAAAAATACTGATAAGGATTTTTGTTTTCGGCTGTAGAAATGGGCTTCTTTGAATAGAATATTTATTTATGAAAAAACTGGAACATTATTAGGTAGAATCGTTTGGATTCAAAGAGATCTGGGCTGGAACTCTGTAACGAATAGAGATATTTTCTCTATCTCTATTGACGTCTCCTCTCTATTGATTTCGACAAAGAAGAAGAAGACAGCAAGTGCCATAGCGATAGGGATAACGATCCTTATCCATTACAGAGTTCCAGCCCTGAAGCCATTTCAAAGGCATCTAAAATTCTGAGTTACTTTAAAAACCACCAAATGGTCCAAATTTGTCCTAAAACTGCTCTAAACGTGTGTGGTCAAAAGAAGATACATTTGCTTTAATAAGTATTTTTGAAGTCAAAAATGTACAGGGATAGGGCCAATCGTTCTCTTGGTTTTATCCATTCATGCATATTTGTATCTGATTATGATATTTTATCTGAGAATAATTGTAACAAAAAGTTGAAGTCGGTTTCTGACATACGTAGAAATTTTTTAAATTTATTTGGATCTTCCCTTCTCAATTCATCAAATAACATCGCGTGAGCACCAAGCAAGAGTAGGCCATTTTACCCATATTCTTTTTTTAGGTCCTTTTCTTCCCTCTTTTCGTGAAATTGCAATAATGAAAGCAGCTGCAGCTCTTTCTCTACAGCGAGACATTTTTTCCGCACTACTTTTCCGTACAAAACACTAAATGCTACTATACCGTGTATACACGGGTACAATCACTTGCTAAAGTTAATGTCTAGAGAGCACTTGCGGAGAAAAATTGCATTTAATAATTTGTGTAAATGTAAACGCTCGCGCAAGTTACTCTGGGAAGTTCTATCGCAATTTATTCTCCCGTGTAAACCAAGCTTAAACTGTACATACTATGTGCCAAGTAGTCAATGCTGTATGGAAGTCGTGAACGCAAGCTTGTGATTGAATGTGTTGGTGGACTAAATATTCATGGAGTCCAAAAGTGATAATCGTATTCAGGCCGCAACATTTGTAGTCATGTGTTGGGGTTACCTTTTTTTTTTAAAAAAAAAAAGTCTGAACAGTTTCTAAATATTGCGATTAACAATTTTTTTTTTAAGTCCGCAATGGGAATTTGTTCAAAAAACTCAGCTTGAACACGATTCGAGGCATCATGGACTTCGTTTATATTTTTTTTCAAAGCACAACTAACCCAAATAACAGGATCATTTGCATAGATATCCAGAAAAAGCAAAATCCTTCCGCAATTCCACTCCATTTCAACCACAAACAAAACAATCAAAACTTGCCGCGATTTATACCGAGTAATGTAGCTACTTGCCATATGCTACTTGCGCCCTTTGACTTGCGACGATTTACCGACAGCCAACGGCAAGTACAAGTCTCGACTTGAACATAGGCAAGTCTTCATACACATTACTCGAAACTTGGCAGTTACTTGGCAAGTATCATATAGTGATTAGTGGCCTTTATATACCAAAACTTTCAACAAGCGTTTCTAAACATAAAAGAATTTCAACTAAAGCTTATTTGGATTCTGGATTACAGAAATCAAGGTTGCCAACGGTACCTACTAAGCAAGAAATTGGCACAAAGAGCTTTATAGAAATAATTTTATTTGATACATTTTCTTTAGGCCCTCATGGACATGTTTTATCAAGACGAAGGAGGAGGTAACTTGAGTGAACGCCTCAGCGAAAAATTAGTCCTATCCGCACCTAGGACTAGCCTCACTTATGAGGAAACTGTCAGGGAATTGATTGCTTCGGAGAAAGCTTATTTAAAGGAATTGCATATGATTATTAAAGTTTTCAGGTAATAATAAGTTTGTTTCTGCAGAAATCACAAACCAGTCAGAGCGAATTTCATTGCTTGGAAATAGTCAGAAAACTAGTTTCAACCAATGATATTCACTCTGACTGGTTCGTGATTTCTGCAGAAACAGACCTAATATTAATATCATATTCAACATTGCTTTACATGTTTATTGACAATATTATTGTTTTCAGGGAAGAAATCAAAAAACTAACCCAAGATCCAAGAGATATTGAATTAATTTTTTCCAACATAATGGACATCTATGAGCTAACCTACACTTTAACTGGCAGTTTAGAAGATGTCATGGAAATGGCTCAGGAGCAAATGCCTTATATTGGTAGCTGTTTTGAAGAATTGGCTGAAGCTAAAGAATTTGATGTTTATTGTAAATACGGTCGTGACGTCACATCACCTTTATGTCGTCAGACATTATTGGAGCTATTGTCAAGGCAGCAGGCCACGCTCAATACCGCAGGTCAAGGAATGCCTTTAGCTTTAAAGTATTATCTGCCTGCATTGCTGACCCATCCAATTTGGCACTTTTTTTCTTACATGGATTATATTAGATTACTAATTGGTTTGTCTCCTGCTCCAGAAGATAGAGAGATGTTAACTGAAGTAGAAGGGATGCTGAAGCCTTTAAGGGATGAACTCTGTAAGTATTGTATGGGGTTTATAAAATGCAAATTATTTACCTGTTTGCACTATTTCAGCTCACTGTGTTCCTTCCCAGCCAAATCCCAGAGGCTCGGCTACTTTGAACCAAGTCAAAACCAGAAGATCAGCTGCTATAGAAAAAATTCAAGAGCTGGAAAAAATCGTTGAAAATTGGGACTCCAAGGATCTGGGTCAATGCTGTAATGAATTTGTCAGAGGTATTGTCTGCATTCTTTGGAGTTTGTTTAAAAACAGCCAATTTAAGTCTGAAATCTTTAGTTTGTTTTTACTTAAGTTGTTTTTTTTTTCAGAGGATGTATTAACCAAAGTAAGTCAGAAAAGACTGACTGAACGGCGAGTGTTCCTATTTGATGGTCTCATGGTTTTATGTAAGCCAACGACTTCGTCTAGAAGGCAAAGTTCTGTACATCACACGCCACATACTTGTAGGCTGAAGGAACGTTTTTTTATGAGAAAGGTAAAAATTTCATTATAGTATGTATTAAAACCTGTCATTATGATTATAATTGAACATGTTCAGTGTTATTTATTCTTATTTCCATATTTTGTAATGAAAAACCATAAATTTCACTTCACTTTTTTTCTTTTCAATTTGTTAGCTCCTGTGAATTACCTACTTATACTTTTTCATATTACCATTAAATATTTTCAACATTTTTTTTTTTTTAGAAATTCTTTATTTCTGTCCCCTAAACAGTAACAAAATATTGGCAACAGGGCCTACATTTAATTTTATAGAAATACATTCACTGAATAAATATAGAGTTCCTGATCCAAAAATAATTAGTTTATTCTGTTCCTTTTATGTAGTCTTTGAGGTTACGGGCATTAGTCTATAATTCTGCACATTTATGATATCTCTTGAAGTTTTATTAAATGTTTGTACACTTCTGTATATGGGAGAATCTTTTGATGTGTTAGTGCTTGAAAATTTATTTGCTATGTATTCTTTTTGTCACGTATTATGTGTATGATAGTTTTGTCTTTGGGTTAATGTTGTATTTGATTTCATTAGTTCATTCTTTATTGAGTATATTATTTTCACTTGTTCAATTTTTTTCAATTTGTCTATATTTGCGATTTTTGTTTTTTTGTATATGTCAACACTGGGAGTATATTGATTCATAAGATATATGGTTTTCAGAGCTTAATTTTGTATTCTTTGCAGTTTTTCGAGTTGGTATTTTGGAGCGTTTCCCCAGCAAGGCAGAAGATACCTTAAATGAGGTTCTATGAAACTGTTAGAGAGAAATTGTCTTGCACTGTTATTCAATAGATGTGAGCACCTTTTTATTGCTCCTAACATTGGCAATATTTTTTTAATGATGTTATCAATATGGGCAGACCAGCTGATATTTTTTGTGATGATCAGGCCCAAATATTTATATTGCTTTGTCCCCTTCAGTTGCACACTATTCAGAACCACTTCCATATCACACCTCTTTCGCCCTATTTGCATATACTCAGTCTTATCTACATTAATTTTTAATTTATTATAGCGCAGCCACTTACGATACAAATTCAGGTCACTCTTTATTACTTTTTCAAGTTCTTTGTTTAGGGTTTTCTGCCAAGAAAGCGAGTATAGTGTCATCTGCAAACATGAAATATTTTGATTTTAGTAAAATATATTGTAAGTTGTGTACATACAGGAGGTCCTGGATAGGTCCGAGCACTGAGCCCTTTGTCACTTTTGCAGTCATTTATTTGAGTATATTATTCTCGATCGGTAGAGTATGATTGTAATAGGTTTAAACACACACCATGAAATTCCATTTTACATATTTTCTTTTCCATTTGTTCAGTATCAACTGTGTCAAACGCATTTTACAAATCAACAAAAACCAAAACAACATGTCTACGCCTATCCAACTCTCCCTTAACATACTCCACAAGATCCACTGTGGCACCCAAAGTATGGATTTGTTTTTGGAAACCGTATTGTTGTTTGTCAAATTGAAAAGCCTCTTTGATGTGTTTGATTAACTTTTTCTACAATCTTGGAGAAGGTGCTTAGTAAGAAAATCGGGCAATAATTGTTCACGTCACTATTTGGTCCTTTTTTGTGTACTGGAATTATTTAAGCTACTTTTAGTTCCTTCAGATATTTTCCACTCTCGAGTACTTTATTTACTAAGTTTAGCAGGATTTTGCCAAACACATCAAATAGTGTTAAAATATCTGTTTTTGTCAATTGATCTTCACCAGTAGCACTATTATTTTTTAGCTTACTAACTATGTCCTTTTTATTTCCTTCAAATCTGTTTTTTCCCATTTTCCGAGTATCTGTTGTGCTTCTTCTTCCACAAAGTTTTAGATATTTTTTTAATTTTTTCAGCTAAAGATGATCCTACATTAGAAAAATGTTTAATAAATTCTTATGCCTTTTCTCTGTCCTCTGTGATTCTTTTTGTGTCAGTTTCAATAATTTTTATTTTCTGTGAGTTATTTTTTTTCTGTTACATAATTTGTTCAATACCTGCCATTTCATTCATTTTTTTTTTCATGTAGTCTTTTTGTAGCTTTTTTCTCAAGTTATTCAATTCATTTTTAGCTTTTTTAAACTCTTTTTCTGTATATTCATTTTGTACTTGTTTCCGTCTCCTAATATCCTGACTCTAGATCTTAATTTGTCTAAATATTCAGTGGTTATCCAATTGTTGTCTTTTCCTATCTTAACAGTATAGTTTTTACTGCACTCTAGTCTTGTTTTATACAGAATTTTAGAAAGTTGTACAAAGGATTCAATAAGTTGTGTTTCTTTATTAACATAAATATATATTATTTTGTGATCAGATATCATGTCATCTTCGACTTCAACATTGCAAATCAATTTGTTGTTTGTAATTATGTGATCTAGGATTGATTTGCATCAACAAGAACTCTAGTTTTCTTAATAAAAAAAAAAATTCAATCCAAGTCCAATGTCCAATGCAAATCAAATAGGGTTTACCATTATTTCATACTTCTAGCCATTGCAATATAGTATCTTGTATTTTGGATTGTACTTTACTTGAAGTTCTAGATTTCTTATTTTATTTAAATTGCTAACTTTTCCATTTAAATGTTCATTTTAGGTCGAAATCAAGGACCACGAAGATACTGACGAGGTGAAACACGCCTTTGAAATTTTACCCAGGCAGACGCCTAGTGTAATGCTTTGTGCAAAAAGCCTCGAGGAGAAAAACTCCTGGATGGCCGATCTAGTCATGTTAAATAATAGGTAAGCCCTTGTTCATTAGGTAAATTCCAATTATTTATCCTTGAATTTCTTAATTTTAGGTCTATGTTAGAAAGAGTTTTAGATAGTATATTGTCAAGGATAGAGCAGCAACACCCATTAAAACTACCCCCACCTGAATTGTATAAATTCGCTGAACCAGATTCCTCTGATAATATTATTTTGGAACAGTTGGAAAACGGCGGAGGTGTGCCTTTGATAAAAGGCGCTACTTTATACAAACTAGTTGAACGTCTTACTTATCACATTTACGCCGATCCGAAATTTGTTAGGACTTTTTTGACTACTTACAGGAGTTTTTGCTCACCAACTGCTTTATTAGATTTACTTATTGAACGATTTCATATACCAGATCCTTCTAAAGTTTATGAACAAGACCCAAGTGATACAGATAAAATTCAGAAGAGTAATCAGAGAGAGGATTGGAAAAAGTACAGGAAAGAGTATGTCCAGCCTGTACAATTTAGGGTGTTGAATGTTCTACGGCATTGGATGGATCATCATTTTTATGATTTTGAACGAGATCCTGAACTATTGAAGAGGTTGGAAGACTTTTTAGACTCTGTTGCTGGTCAAAACATGAAGAAATGGGTAGAGAGTGTAAAGAAGACTATTAAAAGAAAGGTACTTGCTTGCAATATTAATCTGTCAAAATAATACTTTTTACTTGTAATTTTTAGAAAGAAAATGACAACCAAAGGCACAAAAACGCCTTTGTAGATAGGCCGCCTCCAGTAGAATGGCATATACATTGCAATGAAGAAGAATATGGTATTTTGACGCTTCATCCTTTGGAAATCGCCAGGCAGCTTACTTTGATTGAATTTGATCTGTATAGGATGATAAAACCTAGCGAATTGGTTGGGTCAGTGTGGACAAAGAAAAATAAAGATGTGACTAGTCCAAATTTGTTAAAGATGATTAAACACACGACTAATGTGAGAACCTACTTTTTTTTTTTGTTCAAAATAATGTATTTTTGTCAAAAATCTAAATATTCTGTTTTTTAGTTCACTAGATGGCTAGAAAAAAACATAGTAGAAGCAGAAAATTTGGAAGAACGGGTAGCAATAGTGAACAGAATATGTGAAATAATGATAGCTCTAAACGAAATGAACAATTTCAATGGTGTACTGGCCATTAGTTCTGCAACACAATCGGCTGCGGTGCATCGATTAAGATTCACTTTTCAGGTAAAAATATGAATTGTTTTTTATTGAACCAATTCAAGTTCAACTTCTCAAGATGAGTTTATTTGATTTTCCACGTTTTTTAGGCAATCACACAACACTATAAGAAATTTTTGGAAGAATGCAGTAGAGTTGATGATCACTTCAAAAAATACCAAGAGAAACTCAGATCTATCAACCCTCCTTGCGTTCCTTTTTTAGGTAGGTTTCGTTTTCAGTTATTTGATTGAAATAAACTTAATATTATGCTTACTTTTAGGAATGTACTTATCAAATATTTTACACATAGAAGAAGGCAATCCCGATCATTTACCAGGAACGCAACTAATAAATTTTTTCAAGCGACGAAAAGTGGCAGAAATAACTGGAGAGATTCAACAATATCAAAATCAACCATATTGTTTTAAGGTGGAGCCTGGTATAAGGGTAAGAAGCAGCTTGAGGATGATTTTAAAAGTATTAAACAAAGTTATTTGATTTAGAATTTCCTGGAAAACCTTAACCCATTTGCTGACATGTCCGACACAGACATACAAAATTATCTCTATCAGAAATCAATGGAAATTGAACCTAGAGGATGTAGACAGCTACCAAAATTCTCTAGAAAATGGCCGCATTTTAATTTGAAAAGTCCTGGTATCAAAGTAAGACTCATACTATATCATTCTATATTTAAATAAATTTGAAACTATTTTATTCATTTATAGCCCAAGCGGAGTGCAGGTAGTGTTATGGCCAATGCTGTAAACACAATGAGTTCGACCTTGAAAAGTGATGACAGTAAAAGCGAAGATTCTTCAAAGAGTGATAATGATTTCAGTGTGTTTGCTCCAGTAAGTTATTATTTTGTTTTATAGACATTTACTTAAAATTTTAAAATGTCTATCAAGGTACAACTCGGCACTGGTCAAAACAGCCCTACTTTGAGCCCCAACTCTCCTGCCGCTCCTTCCAATCCTATAATGAACTGGTTCAATCACACGCGAAGTCCTAGCGTTAGTTCGGTAATTTCTACGGCTTCCTACAGACCTGCGCGGACGTCTGAAAGCGGATCCAGTATACAGACACACCTGTAAGAACTTAAATATTATAATATTTATAAATATTCATTACATGTTTGTGTTGAATGTGTTAATTTATTTAGATCTCATCGTCATACGTATTCAACAAGCTCATCTGGTGCACCAAACAGTCCTGGTGCACTGCATACTCCCACGTCACCAGGGCCTCATCCGCCATCTTCTGCTGAACCAAACAGCCCCAGATTACCACCAACGCCGCCTCCTCTACCACCCAGAAGGAGAAGAGATAGTCCAGAGATAAATTCGCCACAACAGGTAACAAAACATCCTTCCACTTTTATGTATCAAAGCGACTTGTTCTAACCTTGCAAAAAACTAATTCATTATAAAATAATCCTGAACGAAATACATTTTAATGTTTCCTAATGAAGGCGCAGAGCTTCAAAGTACTTACTAAAACTAATATGACACTAGAATTCTCCAGTAATCAGAATTAGCAATACTGAAGCCAAATCAATGAGATGTTAGAAGTACTAATAATGGTTCTCTGTAACGGTTGTAAATAAGGATTCTCTGAGCAATAATAAATGGTTTTTTGGCAAAGCTAAAACAGATAGTAGTATAACAAGTTCAATTATTATATGCACACCCCTTCAGGCCAAGCAAGCCGCCGACGCCCCACCTTTACCACCTAAAGACCAGTCTCCGCCCCCGCTGCCGCCCAGACGTGAGCCCGGTGCTTCGCCCAATCAACCCCATGTCGGTTTTCACTCGCACACCCTGCCCCATCCGGGTCATTATTCGCACTCCCATTCCCATCACGCCCCCGCTGTCGCTCCCCGATTGAGACCGACGCACGCGTCGCAATTACACATGCGCCGACACGCGCATATCACGCCGAGATCGAGTGGAACGCAGGCGCAACAAGCCTCTAATGGAGGATCTAGGTAAGAACTTTAAAGACATTAGGTTTGTTCCAACATGTCAAAAACCGTCCCATAAACGGTTTCGAAACCACTCTGTATACGAATTTCGAGTTCTACGCACAAAAACGCAATAGATAAAACTAAAATAATAACTTTTTCTTTGTCTACGCGCTCATTACCAGATTTTCAAAGTGTTAAATTGCATGATGCTTCATGCAAATTGGATACTCAATGTAATTGTGTTGAAATGGTTCAAAGAATCCCTTCCCTCAAATATTTGGGGATGTTCATAGATGAAACTTTCACTTGGAAGGATCAAATAAAATATGTCACTAATAAAATAAGGAAGCTAAAAATAAATTTTATGAATTAAGACACATTTTATCTTTTGAGATACTTAAACAAGTGTATTATTCTCTTATAGAATCTATTCTGAACTATGGCATAGTTGTGTGGGGAAATGCAGGTTCTACAATACTGTCCAAGCTCTTAATTGCACAAAAGTGGTTGATAAAAGTTATACTTTTCAAGAATAAAAGATATCCAACTGAATTAATCTATAAAGAAAGTGGTTTGTTGAATAGTAATCAATTGTATATCAAATCAGTAATAAGGTATATGTTAAAAAACACTGACTATAGACAAAATATAACACACGGCATAAATACTAGAAATGTAGTTCAAAATAATCTAGTACGAGGCATCCCCAGGCATACTATCTGCCAAAATCATATTTACTGTGTAGGACCAAAAGTTTTCAACTCACTACCCCAAAACTTGAAATCAGAACATTATTGTAAATTGAAAAGGCAAATTACAAGTTGGATAGTAGACAGTAGTTTTAGTATTAAGTACATAATATAAGAAAGGAGAAAGGCAATTGTGTATTGGTTAATTGTATTTTTAATTGTTTTGCTTAAAAGTTTTATTATTATTTTTCATTTCCGTTTTCAACATACCTCAATTTGTTACTAAAGATAAAAGAAAGTGGCGCACACACAGTATTCTTAATACTATCGTGTGTCAAAATTGTTAGCAGTAGATTTTATTTTATTTTAGTTCTACGTAAGTGGGGAACTAATGTTATATTTTTATTGTTTTTACTTTTTTTGTTAACTATTGCTAATAAATAAATAAATAAATAAATAAAATAAATAAATTTTTGGCTTTGCGCAGACTACTGATGGTACATTGTGTGATGTGTTCGAACAAAGCTATTAAAAGCGGCTTTTTAATAACACTAGACAGGCTTAAAAGGTGTATTTTTATTGTCCAGTCAGAAAAAGTAGACTCTTTCTACCTAGGCAGAAAAGTTCGATAATAATTTGAATTAAAATGGTAATTAAAACTGACAATAACAATAGTATCAAAGTGGATTAAGCAAACACAAAAATAGGAATTTTATGTTTCACACAGCAGAAAATCAGAATTAATGCCGCCGCGGGTGTTTGATAGCCCATACTTTCTGCCTAGTAAAACAAATAACTATTCTTTGCTCCACAAGAATCAACAATAAGTTTCAAACCAGAGATCAACTTTTCTTTTAAAATAGTCGCAGATTAGAGCTCGCTTCTCTACAAGAACTGTGAATTAGATTTTTATCCTCCTCAGTTGAATTTCAGCTTTTATTTGTTTTATGAGCTTGACTACTATTTCTTCTTTTTCTTTGCCAACCGATGTTCGTAAGAATACTGACCTTTTTGTTTGATCATCAACTATTGTTATGGTTGTACCTTCCCATTGTCTGTTGGGAAGTTGTACTCTAACAGAATCTCCCATTTTATAATTCTGGGGTTGAGTGGCATGTCTGTCTGCATAATCTTTTTCTTTTTCTCTCAATCTTTTCAATTCATTTGTGACATCTTTTACAATATTTGGTTTCAACTTTTCACTGTTCTGGTAATTCTGCTAAAAAGTCTTTGATTAGGTGAACCCAGTGACGGGTTTGTAGGTGTATTTCTGTAGTTGAGTAAAGCAATCTGTATATCTGATTTGTCGTCTGTACAATTTTTTAACAGATTTTTCGCAATTTAAACACGTCTTTCCGATAAACCATTATTACTTCTTGGATGATATGAACTACTGGTTGCATGCTGAAAACACCATTTTTTGGAAAAATCTTTAAATTCTCTAGAAGTATATTGTGGTCCATTATCAGTTTTTCAGGAATTCCATGAACTGCAAACCATTCTTTGAGATAGCCAATTACTTCCAAGGATGTCTGATTTCTGAGTTTTTTCACGTCCAAAAACCCAGAGTAACTGTCGTAAATAGTAATACAAACATTTCCATGCACGCTTAACAAATCAGAGCCGACTATTTGTCATTCGTTCAGTAAAATTGTTTCCTTTTGATTAGCTCTTTGATATTTTTCTCAAACTCTGTATTTTTGAACATAACTAAGAATATCTTGTGATATTCCTCTCCAGTAAAGTAGTTCTCTTGCTCTTTTAAGACAACTTTGGATACCAAAATAGCCTTCATGAATATTTCTTAACATTTTAGGTACCTGAGATCTTGGAACGATTATTTTTTCGCCCTTGGATATGAGTTGTAAACTGCAAGTTCGTCTCTGAAAGTTACATAGTGCTTAATATTTTTGGGTACATCGTCTGAATTTGGACATCCGTTTAATATGAACTTTCGTAGTAATTGCAGTTCAGGATCCAATTTTGTGGCTTCTAATAATGGGCTCTTTCACTAATTTTTGAAATTGGCATATTTGGATAAAGCAACTAAAAACAGAATTTTCTGTATTTTTACTTTTGAAAAATTCATAGTCCTTCTTGAGAAAACAGAAAAAAAAGAAATACCTCCAAATAAAAACCCAGAATTTATTTCTATGACGTCGCAGCTCGCTATTTGACCGTGTTGCCACTAATTGTCAACATTGAAAATTTGTAATAGATTTAATTCTGAAATGTTCCCAAAATATCATGAAAAGTAGTTAAATTAATTAGTTATGGATTCAAGATTTTATAACATTTTTATTGAAGTTATGCTTAAACACAATTTAATATAATTTTCTATGTTTAGTTTTATTTATTTATTTTACGTTGCACTACATTTAGTCACCACCGACAACAGCGCATTCGAACCTTTACCTGCATTTACTACAGGATAAATACAGCAGAGGCGGACAGCTCTTTCCAACAACAAGCGAAATGAAAAATATTTATGCGACGTCAGCAAATCGGCGCGTTTTTAAATAATTCAAATTTTTGGTAGTTTAAAATGCCTGTAAAAAACTTATTTAACCTTGTAGAACATTTTTTTTTGGTATATGTGCCTAAAATAGTCCCTCCTTTGGGATTTTATACCTAAATTACGTATTTAAATTTAGTGAAAGAGCCCATTCTTCCTTGGACAATTTGTACTTCTAATTCTTCCTCGTTTCTATATTTTCTCCAGTTTCTTCACAATCCCTACTTAAAATATCTGCTAAAGGTATATCTTTACCTTTTTTGTATATTATTTTGGGCGAATACTGTGATACTTCCAATAATATTCGTTGTAGCCTAGGTGGCGCAAAGTGAATGGGTTTTTTGAAAATAGCTTCTAATGGCTTATGGTCTGTTTCTACTGTGAGTTTCTTGCCATATATAAAATGATGAAATTTATCATATCCAAATTTTATTGCATACGCTTCTTTCTCAATTTGAGGCCAATTTTGCTGTGACAGTGTTAATGATCTAGTAGCATATGCAATGGGTTGATTTTCTTGCATCAAGGCAGCTCCTAAATTTTTCGAACTAGAATCTACTGATCCTTGTTTACATCATAAAATTCCAGAACAGGTGCACTAGTCAACTGTACCTTTATTTTGTTGAAATCTTCGTGTTGTTCTATGTCCCAAATAAATTCAACATCCCTTTTTAGAAGCTTTCACAAAGGATCTGTAAGCTCAGAGACATTTGGTATGAATTTATTCAAATATTATGTTATCGTGCCTAGCAACATTTTTGTAGTTCTGTTATATTTGTTGGCGTTTTTGAGTTTTCAATAGCTTTCACCTTGGTATCATCAATTTCAATACAATTTTCCGATAAAATATGCCCAAGAAACTTAAATCTTTTAACATTGAAATTGCATTTTTCCTTATTGAGTTTCAATCCAGAATTTTCCAATGTTTCCATTACTTTTTTAGTAATTTTTTCTACACCTTCTGGGAGTCGGAATAAATAAAAATATCTTCCATTGAGCAGTGAGTGTTTGGAATGTTTTTTAACTAGGAACTCATTATTTCTTGAAATACCTCTGGTGCTGAACAGATTCCAAATGGTAGACGAGTGCAACTATAAAGCCCCCATGGTGTTGAAAACGTGAGATATTTTTGAGACTGCTCTGCAGCTTTTATTTGCCAAAACCCTCGTTTGCAACCTAAAAGTGTAAAATATTTGGCTCCATGTATTTGTGCTGAAATTTCTTCCATGGTTTTGAGTGGATAATGTCTTCTTAAAATGTTTTTGTTAACATCTGTAGGATCTATGCAGATTCTTAATTTACCTTTTTGCCTAACAGTTACTAATGGAATGACTGCAGGAGTAGGTTCTCTAACTTATCCATATTTTCCAATTCTTTTTCACTTCATCTCGTATGGCAAAGGGTATTTTTCTTGCAAGCCTTATTTCAAACTTTGGATTTTCTATGAAATCAATATTGTATTCATAATAACCCAGTCCTTGAAAAATGCTATCATTGAACTTTGTTGTCTTGCAGGAATGTACACGTACAATTAAACCTAGTTCGTGACAGGATTTTCTTCCTAGAATGGGCTGCACCTCTTCATTGACTATCTTAAATATTATCTCTACTAAGCTTCACCTATTACAGCTATTTTGTCATTTGTATAGCTAAACAAAGTTTTAGTTTTTGAAGGTTTTAACTGCAATTTTAGTTTATCAAGAAGCCGCTTTGGTACAACATTACATTGGGGTGATTTATTTTTCACTGTTTTGGTTTCATACCAGTCGCTATCTTTTTTAGTATTGAGCGAATGAACACAAAGAGACTTTTTTCTTTTTTAACCAACAGTTGCTAACAAAATGTCCTGTTTTCTTACAATATTCACATTTTTGTTTATAAGCTGGACAATTTTTTTGGGTTTCGCATCTTCTGTAAAAGAACTCTTCGCGATCACTTGATTCGTCTCTGTAGTGTCTATTTCTTTCATTTGTTTTGTGGCTTGTTTGCTAGCTTTACAAATAGTTACTGCTTTATTTAAATCGAGGCTCTCTTCAGTGAGCAATTTTTCACACACTTTATCATATTTTACTCCAAAAACAACATCTGTAGTTGGCCAAATTGACAGATATTCGCATGAGTTAATATTCATCAGAAATTCATCAAAATTTTCGTCCTCTTTTTGGACAATTTGGAAAAATTGATATATTCAAAAGAAGTTTAGGGATAAAATATTCTTCAAATTTACCCTTCATTACGCTAATATCATTCTCATCATCAGATAATCCAAAATTATTGAATATTTCTAAAGCATCTGAGCTAATGGTAGTCATAAATGTAGCTGCTTGAACTTCTTTGGGTTTCTTTGATGATTGTGTAGCTATAGCGTACTATTCGAACTGTTGTATCCAATTTTTCTATATTTTCGGAGTTTATAACTAGGTGCTTTGGAGGACGTACACCAATAACTCCAGATTCGTTATTTGTTGGTTCTGTCATATTTATTTATGCTGGATTCATTATTTCTGACACCATGTAACGATAAGTTATACTTTTATAAGATAATTTTTGTCCGATTGACCAATAAAGTGCTATTTATAGAACAGTTTTGCGTCAATAAAGTAGCACTTTATTTTACTGTAAAATGGAGTGCTACTTTATTGCCTATCTGGACTATCTGACAACCTGCCAAAGTGAAACAGGTATACTCAAATTTTGATTTTTTGATTCAATTTTTATTAAAAACCATTCGCAATCGTACATAAAATCATGCATATTACGCCTACATAAACCGGCTTTATTGACTCACCAGTTAAATAAATTATTCGTACAATAAAGCCTTACTTTATGTACTTGTTATATAAATAGCTATTATTGTACTCATTTGATAAGATTATGACAAAACTAACTTGACATCGAGATGAAACTGGTTAACAATTATTGAATACAGGAGAACATAAAATATAATTCACAGTACTCATAAAGAAATCTGGAGGAAAACTAAGCCACACAGAATAGTCAGAAATTGGAGTTTGATACTTCTCTCGTCAAATTTCAACCCAAGGAGAGCCGGAAATAACATCGGCTATGGAACACCAGCTGCGGCATTAAATCTCTTGGACGTTGCTGCCAAGTAAAACAAATTACTATTTTTAGAATAGCCTAAACTAATAGGTCTTTATTTATTTTCCATTTCCCTTAGAGTTCTTGCACTTCTGATCATTATCAGGACATAATGAATCATTAGTCATTTCGAGGTCACTAACACAATATATTTTCTCTCTAGTATTCCTCCGGCCACATCGCCCGCTAAACCGCCAACAATATCCCCTCGTTACGGTTCGAGCAGTACCAGTGAGAGCAGTTCGGGTCAGATCACGCCCCAGCTGCCCCCTAGGCCGGCTGTACGCTCAGCAGGAATCACCTACGGAACAATGTTCCAATACCCAAGCACCACGAACACCTAGGAGGAGCTAAGTATCTTTATGGTTGTTATGATCCCTTACCGATTTTAGACAATCAAAATAGGGACACTGGTTATTGGCAGAAAAGAAAAACAAACATTGAATTTTTCATGTTTTTGTCTTTATTTTTCATTGATTTGGAAAAACTGAGTCAAACTTTATTGGTTACTTAAGCCAGTTACACTTCACGACGCTTATAATCTGGAAAACAATACGCTTTTTTATCAGGAATAATTAAAAATCCGAAAATATGTTTGGTGACAAAATTCAAAACGAAATTTATGTAAGAAACAATAATACATTATTTTTCTGTACGGATTTGGTGTGATTAGGAGTTAGGAACAGTGCCTCAGGTACAAAGTTTAGCTGTTATAGGTATTATGCGAATGATATAAATATATACCTCCGCGAATCATTTTCTTCATGAAAACAGACTCAACAATTGCATATTTTGTCAAGAGTAAAATGCTATCCTAATAATTTATAATTTTGTCCCAGATAATCTAAACTCTAATAACTTTTTGAAATAATGCATATTTAAACAATTTGTTGTTTCACAGTTGATACCTCATTATGATTTCTGTCTGGTTCAGATAACCAGATAGCTATATGTAATAAAACTATGACTCATTTTCTGTCATCAATCGGTCTTGGTTTAAATGTTTTAGTTCTGTCTTTACCCATACTTTTACTTCTTCATAGAACCTTTTCCAAAATCATTTTCAACATGGGGTATAGATATCGTTATCCATAAGCAATATCAGTAATATTCTAAATAAAAACATAGCTAAATATATGTCAAAGGCGCAAAATGAAAAATGATCAGGAGTATGTTTTGAATTTTGTCTCTAAACAATGTAGTACAAAAAAACATGTTTAAAAAAAACTTGATGTGTATTGATGTAAATTAAATGTTATGAAGATCTTGGAGGCAGTTGAAAAGGATTAAATGTTTTATAAAATTTTCGTTTGCTGACAAGGTTGTATGTGTAAAAAAATGTGTTTTGAGATAATTTTTAAATGTGTCTTAACTACTGTTGAGTATTAGTGAGATTTAACTGATTTATTAATCAATAAATAATAAGGCTATTAAATGTTGAATTCTACAATTTTCTCTTAAAATTGATTTATATTCTTTAATATGAGATTAATAGTAAATGCCTCAATTTCCAGAAATGCTATTTTAAAATAGTAAGTTTTGACATTTAGTAGCCAATTTAGGGTAAATTAAAATATTCTACTCAAGAAAGCTTTAAAAAAAATTGTGAACTCGTAGAACTATTGAAAATGTATGGCTATGAAGAATGAATGATCCGAGGCAAAATGGAAAACTTATTTTGAACTAAAATAGGCCCATTTTGTGATTTTCATTTTGCTTCAACTTAATACGAGAAATGCCATGGAATTCTGAATGTCGGAAGAATTGTATATAAAACAAAACACAAACATACATATTTTCTTATCTAAGTGTCAAAAAAATATATATACCGGGTGACCACGAGATTACTGACCAAGCTCTAGTTCAGGCATGAATATCAATATCGATTTCAACTTTTGAGGATGCATATTATTGATATCGATGCAGAATTTCGCTATAGAAACAATCGACTATCGCTTTTGGTTTGACCGCAAGTGCCATCAACTTCTTTATTTCAACTAGATCACCCCCTATATTATTTCATTTTTGGATTCTATGAGAAATTCTAAGCATATTTTATGTATAATATCCTATACCTAACTTAAACAGTTTTCAAGAAAATCGCGATTGAAAATGTCAAAAAATAATTTTTATTTTAGTTTTGACAGCAAACAATGGAAAGAAGGTTGAAGCTTTTACGATATTTTTAACTCATTTTAGAAGCACTAAAGGGTCCCACCACAAAAATATCAGTTCCGGTTCAATCGAAGGTTTTCGGTCGGTCTACTTTTGAGGTTATGTTACTGCAATAATTTCAATGGTATCCCATACTTAGAACTGAAAATTCGTATTCTAGGAACAATTTTGAATCTTTTTTGTATACGCTTTCCTATACCTAATGTCTACTATTTTTGAGATATTTTACAGTATTGTTCACGTTTGTATTGTTCACGTTTGCGTCCCTAACTTTTTGGACTATTTGCGACCTTTGGGTAACAGTGCAAATCGGGATTCAAGGAACACAACAAATGAGACTTATCTTTTAAACTGCATTCTGTGTGATCTATTTAAATAAACTTATAAAAAGGATTAAAATATTAATGCTGTTATTACTGTTTTTGGTATTCGTTGTTCCAAATACATCCTTACATCAAGTGTCAAATATCTCAAAAACAGTAGACTTTAGGTATAGGAAAGCGTACACAAAAAAGATTCAAAATTGTTCTTAGAATACGAATTTTTAGTTCTAAGTATGGTATACCATTGAAATTATTGCAGTAACATAACCTCAAAAGTAGACCGACCGAAAACCTTCGATTGAACCGGAACTGATATTTTTGTGGTGGGACCCTTTAGTGCTTCTAAAATGAGTTGAAAATATCGTAAAGGCTTCAACCTTCTTTCCATTGTTTGCTGTCAAAACTAAAATAAAAATTATTTTTTGACATTTTCAATCGCGATTTTCTTGAAAACTGTTTAAGTTAGGTATAGGATATTATACATAAAATATGCTTAGAATTTCTCATAGAATCCAAAAATGTAATAATATAGGGGGTGATCTAGTTGAAATAAAGAAGTTGATGGCACTTGCGGTCAAACCAAAAGCGATAGTCGATTGTTTTTATAGCGAAATTCTGCATCGATATCAATAATATACATCCTCAAAACTTGAAATCGATATTGATATTCATGCCTGAACTAGAGCTTGGTCAGTAATCTCGTGGTCACCCGGTATAGAGACTAAACTTATGTAAAACAAAATTTAGGAATCCATCATCTAATTTGCTTTCAAAGTGGGATTAAATAAAGAGGTAAAAAGTTGAGAACTAATTTTGATGGGATTTAAGCCAATTTCATTGTTAATAAATATAATTTCTTCTTTTTAGCACTTTAACTACTTGTAAATTAAAGCAAAACCCTGTACATACAAAACGTGTATATTATTGTATAATTGTATTGTAGTTGCCAAATATTAGAAATATATGTTTTGTGGACTTGAAAATTGAATCCCATAATTAAAAATTATTCAAAGACCACAAAATGGACACCTATTAAGATTAAAACGTACTTCTAAGCTATTAATTCAATTGTATGGAACATTTTCCCAGATTGTAACTAAAGAAAAAAATACAAAAGGAATTGTTAATTTGTATACAGTGCAGCTCAGAACAAAATGCAATATTTCGACTTGCACTGCATACAAAATCGTACCCTAGGTCGTTTTTTTTTTTAACCAATTATTTGCTCGTAACGATTGGCAAACTCTCCACCCTCCTAAAATTTGTAAATTTGTAGCACAAAGTTGGATATTTTTTATCTCTAAAAGAGAATTTGCCAATCCATGTCTTTTATTATAAATAAATTGATTTTTTTTAATCTGTGATAGTAGAATGAGGACCATGTTTGTAAAAAGAATTAAAAAAAATATATTATATGACTATATATGATTAAGTACAATTAAATGTATCAATGTAATTAAAAAAATTTTTGGTTGTTTTATTTTGGATCAATTGAATTACATTGCATATGATAAAGCAGTGGATAACTAGTGAATGGCTTGTAGGTTAATCCACAAAGAACCGTTATTGTCCCATTCACAAAGGAAAGGAGTTAACAGCTTCTACTGGAATACAACGAAAAGGAAATGATCTGTCTCAATTACAAGGATTATCACAAAAATCTTGGAAGACATATCCTTAGTTAATATACAAGACTTTAGGCTGGAAAAGTACCAGGTGATTGTCTATATTTTGCACCCACACCTATCTCACCTGTTTGAAGAAATACCCAGAAATGTCAAATGTGAAAGTTGTAGGTAAAGTCTGTTTTTTTTTTAAAGATAAAAGTCAAAATGACATTATGTTGGCAATAGAATGTAAAATTGTCAATGCTTTCAATTTTTTTGTGTAGAAAAGGCTTGTGTTGCCAACATAGTTACTGAATTTTTGACTTGGGGAATTATCTTTAAAAAAAAAAACAGACTTTAATATCAGAAACATTGCAATGAAGTTAGTTACAAGTATACAGGGTGTGTCACAAAAGTGTGGCGGAGCAAAGTTATACTTTTTTTAAATGAAACACCCCATATATTATTGACCTATTGGATTAGCCTTTCAAACCTGATTCCAAATATAATAGGTTTTTCAGGTTTATTTAACATGGTGCAGACTCTGAATATCCCATTTTGAAGATATATGGATTTTTTACTTGAATGGCTACCTTTATATTTTGCTGGTAGTCGCTATACTTCACCTTATTCAATAAAAATGCAAATATTCTACCCCTTTTTTTACCGGACTATTAGGAATAACCCTAAAAAACCTAGTATATTTGGAATCAGGTTTGGAAGACTAATTCAGTGGGTCAATAATATACCAGATGTTCCATTTAAAAAAGTTTAACTTTGCTTGGTCACACATTTGTATACTTGTAGCTAACTTCATTGAAAACTTTCTGATATTACCTACAACCTTCACATTTGAGATTTCTGGGTATCTCTTCAAACGGATGAGAAAGGTGTGGGTGCAAAATATAGACAATCACCCAGTGAGCAACCTGAAAAATAAAAAATACTTCAATGGCTCTCCAAGGATTGTTAGGAATTATGTTGAAGTTCAAACCCAAAAAACTGATAAATCTCTTTATAGAGGCTTCCGTTTTTTATACCAATTTAAATTCTATCATAGCAAATGACAAATTTAGAATATCCATAGTCTGATCAAGCCCAAAATTAATATTGATAACAGAGACCTGGCTTCACTGCTCTATTCCAGACTCTAATAAACATTCCTCAGTATAAATTATTTCGAAACGACAGAGAAAATAGAAAAGGAGGTGGAGTTTGCATGTATGGTAAAGGAGAGTCTAAATCATAACAAGATTTTCGCTACAGTGGATTCTAAGTTTGAAGTTATTTCTAATACAAGCTCTTTATGGTTGCGGATCAGAATAGCCAAACAAAATCTTATTGCATGTAGTATCTATAGACACATCACATCTGCAGTGAACCCCCCTGTAGGACTAGTGATAAGTGATTATCTAGTCATACGAGCAAATACACAGCAGTGGTAAATGACAAAAAACTTTTACCCAACATCTGCAGTGAATCCCCCTGTAGGACTAGTACGTGATTAGTGATCATCTAGTCATACCGGCAAATACACAATTGAATGCGTACTTTAACTCTTTAAAGTACGCATGTCTCGCATGAGTCTCTACTCATTCTGTTAAGAAAAGAATCCCCTGGACTGCTGAGTATACGCAATCAACGAACATCAGATTTAGTGAATCTATATTACCTCACCTAGAAAATATTAATTACGAAACGTGCGAAAATTTTCTGACAACAGTATTGAACGGCCTATTCCACTTAAAACCAGGCCAGGAAGGTTAATCATAGCAAGCCATGGCTTAACAATTCAATTTTCTGTCATATAAAAAACTACAGGAAACTAGGAATAACAAAAGAAACGGTAACGTACAAACAACTATGGTAAACAACTATGAATCATATCGAAGAGCGAACAACAGTTTAAAAACCGAAACTATGAACCGAAATAGGAGAGGCTAGAAAAGCACACAAAAGCGACAGACAAAAACTTCAGACAAAAAATAATTTCATAAGTATGTGAGACGAAATCTCTACTAGAACTTATCTACCAATAACTCTAAGGGTACCTGCACAAGGGAGCTGTGATAGGTACTTATAGCCTGGATGATAGGTGGAAACTATCATTGATGCTTAAAATTATAACCTTAGTTTAAATGTGAGCGTGCACATCGGAGCAGTGAGTTATATTAGCTGGGATGATCGCTTATAGCATACTAGAATCAATTTTACCATTCTTTGTGCGAGCAGAAACCAGCTGACAAGGGTGTCGTATTCCCAGTCATCGTCTTGTCTTCAATTTTACTTAAAATTTATTGGTGAGTAGATGAAAATGATTATCAGCATCAAACTATCCCTTCAACTCCTGATAGAAGTGGTGATAATCTCCCAGAGTTCTAGCCGTTTTTGATTAATTGGGTGGGTATGGTATTCTCTTGAGGTTAAATGTCACGGAACATACCAATTTGTAGTGGATGAACATAAATAATCACTGTCCGACATCGCGATCGGAAATGCGACATGAAATTGTCCACTCCCATACCAACGGTAACCGCCGAAAGTTGCCGTTGGTCTTCACAACTAACATCTTTAAATTGATGAAGGACTAGACCGACAGGGTTGAATTGGAACAGATCTCAATAGCTCAGTTGGTTAGAGCGTTGCACTGGAAATTCGAGGGTCCTGAGTCAAATCAAATTGGTAAGTTGGTCAAATGTTTTGAAGATTTTAACGTTATA